GAGCGAGCCAGGCCCTCTGTCCAGGGCCGGAGCGGGCAGGGCCGGCCGGGAGGAGGGCTCCCAGGAACCCTGGGCCTTGCCCTCCAGAAGCACAACCTGCATCTCACGGCTTCTCTGCTCTCCCCACAGGGTGTTGGCCCCCAAGTGTGCAGCCTGCGGGCTCCCCATCCTTCCACCTGAGGTGAGATGCCCCTCAGACCCGGGTCGCCCACGACAGGAATTTCTCCTGGGGTCATTTCCAGGCTCTGTCCCTTGTGTCCTCCCCAACGAGCCCCTTTCTCTTTTGCCCGCTTCCCCAGCCCAATGCCCTCCTGGTGCCTGTTTGTCCCCCGCAGTCAGGGCAGACTTGCGGACGTAATGCTAACTCCTAGCGTAGAAGGTGAGCAGGTGGCTTTTTCAGAGTCAACGACATCCCAGAGGGTGGGACCCCTGTCCCTCCATTTCCCATAAGTCAATGTGCCCTTTCCCCCGTGTTAGTATCTTCTCCTAAGGCCGCCTGCTTGTTACTCAGAATCCCCCCCGCAACACCCTCACTGCATGTGGAGCCCAGTGGGCCCCCCAACTTCTCGTACTCGCTTTTTCTCTGTCCAGGGCTCAGATGAGACCATCCGTGTCGTGTCCATGGACAGAGATTACCACGTGGAGTGTTACCACTGCGAGGTAGGCCTTGCCCTGCCCAGGCCCCAAACCCGCGTAGCAGTCCAAGATGGAACCGGCCCAGTTGACTGTGGCAGGAGGCGGTTAGGTTCGGGCCTGGGGCTGCCGTCAGAGCTGATGGGATGGAGCCTGTTCTGGGGGCGGAAGGGGGAGGAGAGGTCGGAGAGGATGCAGATGTTTGGGCATGAAGGTCTTCACTATTTTCTCTAAGGCCTGAGTCCGTGGCAGCTGCCCCGCCTGAAGCTGCGGAGTGGGAGAAGCATGGGGAATGCGGGTTCAGGTCCTGTTTGGGGGCCACGTCTTCAGGCAGGTGTGCGATGTGGGGACTAGACCCCCTCCCCTCCAGCTTGTACCAAGCCTGTCAGACATGCGGCCGGCCCGCTGGCTGCGAGTTTGACATGCCTGTGTAGGCTGTTCCATCTGCCAGGAGCCTCGTTCTCAGCCGAGCCCTGGAAATCATGAAGAAATTTCGCCTCCACCTCACCCCCCTTGGAAACAGGGATGTGGCTGATCGGTGTGAAGGTGGTGGTGGTGGGGGGGGTGCATCTGCCCTTCCCTACCCTTGTATCACCCTCAGGCTGAAGGAGCCATGGGTGCCCAAGAGCATTAGGCCAGCCAGGCGTCACTCCTCATCAGCCTTGTGAAGGGTGCAAACGCTTAAGAGCCCGTGGCCTTCCAGCCAGAACTAAGTGCAAGGAGATGAGACTTATTTTGTGATGGGCGGGGGGCAGGGGAACAGGGGTGTGGGTATCGACATCTCCGTCCCACCCACTGGCGCTGAGGAAGTAGGTGGGACTTCTCAGTGGTGCCCCAGGCGCTGGGGGCAAAGGTGAAGTTACAAGCTCCGCTGTCCCCTCCGCACATCCAGACCAGCGCCGTCCAGTGGAAATTGAGAGCCACAGATTCAGGGCCTGCGTGTCATTTTGTTTCCTAATAGCCACATAAAAAGGCAGAAGAAATAGTCGGGATTGATTTTTGTGATAAAATTTATTCAGCCCATTCTATCCAGAGTGTTACCATTTCAACATGTATCACTATAAAACATTTTTCATGAGCCATTTTATATCCTTCCCCCCAGCGTCCCCCCCCCCCCGCCCCCTCCCCACACACACTACGTCTTGGAAATCTGGCGTGTTTACACTGACATCATATCCCATTTCCCACCAGCCCCAT